ATAAAAAATGTATAGCCCAAAAGTTAGGATTTATAAACAGTCACAAAAAGGCTTAAAGGGCATTTATATGTTATAATATATTCTAATTTATTATCATAAACAACTTATTTAGTCGATTAGAGTTGGGATTTAAAATGTTAAACAAGGTTTGTATAGTTCGGTTGTTTATTCACTTTTTAAATCATAATAACCCAAACCCTAATAATTTTTTCTATGTTCGAAATTATCATTACTCATTAGGATTGCCGTAACTACACGTGACGGCAGAATGGGTACGTCAAGTCTACCATACGACATATCCGAGTATATAATATATCAAATATACTGTTTGAAACGAGACTATTGATTTTAAGTTTCGCCAGTTTATACTGAAAAAGCACCGTTAGTAAAAGTTCTTTACGCTTCTTTTTTAAGTTCTAACACTTAAGTAGAAGTACTTTGCATCAACTACTAAGTCAGTTAACCACAAAACTAGTTAAAAAATATTGGTATAATCCAAAATGATCAAACCACACGTCTTACTAAATCAACAAAGAATTATTTAGTACGATTTCTGATCTAACAAAAAACTCGACAACACAATTCCATAGTAAATATTAAACAATATTTACACTATAACCTCCATATTATAATATATACTACAAGCTGCCCGACCCGGCGTTACCTGGGATTTATTTTACCAGGACTGAGTAAAATAATTACAAATAAGATAAATAAAAGTCAGTATTCCAGGTTATATTATAAAACTTTAGCATACCCTGTCTCAGCTTTTTTTTGGATCTACATACATGTGTACATAATCACCTGCCATTCAATCGAGTACCGTGGTTACCATGGTACAAATCAAGTGTTAATTTTGGATTAGCAACGAAAAAAATTTCGTGTTAAAAGTACAAAAGTCGTGTTTGAGGCCACCCTTAAAGGTAGAATTTTCAAAAAGTATTATGCCAGAAACCTTCGCGGGAGTGTACTCAACAACAACATTCAGCTACTTCAATTTTGTTTTTTGCCCATTTCAACCCCTTAAAATAAAAATTGTTCAAAATCCTTTCTTATTGCACGCCTAAACTATAATACAAACATACCCTGAAAACTTCAAGTCGCTAGTTATAATAGTTTAGGCTGTGCGTTGATTATGAATCAGTCAGAACTTATTATTATATAATATATTATATTTTATATAGGTATATTATTATTTTATATATGTATTTTATTTTAGAGGTATACAAATTGCATAATTCCCTAAACTTTCTTCTTATCCTTTTGCGGTTTTATAAGTATGAACGATTAGTTATGTTCATTCGTCAGATTACACTTTAAAACACATATTTTTTTACACCCAAATCAGTGAGTTTTTTATATAGATCATTTTGAAAGGAAAATACTAATTACGTACTACGTGGAAAAAAAACTGAAAAGACGTAACGTCAATATTAATTTACAGGACTACAACAAAGCAGTATCTATTATTATTTTAATCTTATATAAAAGTTTTCTATTAGTTTAAACAAATAAAATATGAACAGAAAACGTGAACAAGGAAAAGTAAGCGATAAATTTGGATATTGAATTTTTTTTTTAAATATTGCATTATAATACTTCATGATTTCGAAAAATAACATCGTAAAAAACAACAAAATCAATCTAAGTATTAATTTTTTTCAATTTAAAGACATGCTTAGCATTTCCATGCGTTAAATTCACGAATAATTAGGAAATGCGATAGAAACTATTTCAAATATAGTAAAATCCATCTAATGAACTAGAAGATAAATATTTTGTATCAGAAAACATTAAATTTTATTACATTTGACGATCAATTGATGTACCGATAATAGCATAATTACACTGTAATGTATCAAATTAACTGGTAATTAAAACATATGACAACTAATGAGGTATTCAATTTAATTATTTCAGAAGATGTTTGAATATTTATAGTTTATCATAGAATCAAAATTAAGTGAATTAAATCTATTTGATATGATAATATAAATTATAATACAAAAAATAAAAATTACGTACATGTATTGTCACTATTTGTTTTTACGTTCATCGTTAAAAATAAAAGTAAATGCATTTTTATTTTTATATTAAAATTAAATAATCTAAATCTATAAAATGTTAAAAAAAACATACGAAATAATGCATGCGGTAGTATTACATGTATACATAAATACTATTTAGAATAATTATATAATACAAAGTTTTGGAAAGACAGGCGAACAAAAATTATAGCAAGTGCTACGTTATAAAAAGTCTGTAGTTTGTACTCGAATTTCCCAAACAAAAAGTAATTAACTGATAAAATTAATAAATGGCCAAGAATATTAGAAAACAAAACAGAAATGACAAAAATCTAAACGAGACAATAGTTTACATAATATACAAACAATATATTACTATTATATTATACACATTACAGTGTTATAAAATAGGTAAAATACGAAGCGAACAACACCATACGTAAAATGGAGGACTATATATATGTTCTTTTTCAAACAAAACGTTTTTCTTTTATTATTATTTACGAAGAACCCCAACACTTATATATAAAAAAATAATAACAATAGTAATGTTATTATTGTTTTTTCCCTTCCGCGTACAAGTATAGTGAGGTAGGTTATGACAGGGCAAGGGTACAACAGAGGACCAGCTATTGTTTGGTGCACGTGCATTTCAGAGGCTGTAATAGTACCTCCTTTTTAAGACCACCACAGGGAGGCGAACTGCGCTGCAAAAATTACTTCAGTTCTCCCCTTCGTTGAACACTTAAAATATTTTTGTGAGATAAAACGAACTGTGTTCGCCACAGCAACAATGACTTCCACGCAATTTTTTTTTTTTTTTCATAAATTAACATGACTACGCAGCAACAAAACATTATTATACCATTAAAATACTCACAGATGTATAATAAAAAAAATCAACACACTATTTGGTCGGCCTATCAAAGTTGCCATTGGTACAATCAGATGGTGAAAGAAAATTAAATATGTATTTTCTAAAGACGCAGCCTTGGGTAACTTTTCAACATAAATAAAACAATTCATAAATTACACAATTAAATGCACAATATAATATCTTATTGGTCTAATAATCCAAAACAGTGGTAACGCATGACGTTTATTTATTTATTTTTAACGTTACTGGATTATCTTAAGATGTACGTGTAAAGGTAACGTACAATTTTGACTACGTTCATACAAAAATAGATTTGGCGTATAAAAAAATGTTTTTCGCGTAGAAGACTTCTTAAATTTACCGCTTAATTTTTCTTTAATTTATTTGAAAGTTATTTAGATACTTAAAAAAGACAACAAGAGTCGACACGAACAGTGTACTATATTATTATCCTGCATTAAAAATCCTAAGTATATGTGTTAAGAAACAAATATGTGGTTCACATTGTTTTAAATTTGTTCAACAACTATGCATTATGTAATGCCTTCGACTTTGAAACATTGAAACTAAACCAAATGTTGACGGCAGTACTTATATGGTTATTAGAACATCGTTGTATTAATAGCATTTTTAAGTTTTTTATTATTCTACGTAATACTTCAATTTGATTAACCTAACAATACTATGCACACACGTTTTTTGAATATTTTTTAGTACTGCCTAGTAGTATTTGCGTCATATCGTCTAGGTCTTAAAAAGTTTTAAAAAAGTAGGTTATCGCTTAAATTAATCTTATAAAACTGAAAGCTATAAAACTGGCGTCGAACTAAAGGTTTCGAGTAATTACTCTGCAAAACAGTCGTTGTTCCCACTTCCCCCTCCTATGCTACTCTAGTTAGGGGGTAGAACGATAAAATTAATAAATTATATTCGAAAAATGGGTGTACATCGTAAGCCAGAGGAGTTTAGAACGAACCACGACACCTGTATTTTAGATAAAAACCTTAATCCAATTACATTTTTTAAAACACCGATAACCTCTAAAAACTCTTGAATAACTGTGAATGTTACCAAATTTATTTTTAATTATAAATTAAGTTTTATTAATTTTGAATTATATAATAGTTTTGTAAATAAACAGTTTTATTTTAATTTTTGTTAATACAATTTTTATCGGATCACATGAGATGGACCCAAAATAGCAGGTAAATTAAATAAAAACTTAAATTACGTACAGAACAGTAAGTAGTTAGTAATTTAAATGAAATATGCCTTAAAAAATGGTCAACTGGAAAAAACCCAAACCCCGAAAAAAAAGGCCGATAAACACTTAAACGTGGGAACTAGATAATACTAAAATATCACATCGCAGACAAGTGATAACGCAAGTCGCAAACAAACTGAATGTCACACGCGATTGTACCCAAAAAGACAAGTCTTTTTTACCTGTCGTTATAATAATTGTGAATAATAATGGCCAATGATATTTATTATTAATTTTGGACTCGCCGAACGACGATAACTAGGGTCCGCATAATGCCTACCTAACGGCTCACGGCCGACACATTAAGCTTGTGCAGATTAGCTTGTGGCAATACGGCAGTTACGTTTTTTGCCAATCGAAACGCATAAAACGTACTTCAGCCCAAACAATTGGATTTCTTTTTCTCCTCTCAAGGTGCGCGTTTGTTGGTGAGGACTTATGGCAAAACGAACGAGCGGTTTGCGGGGTGCTTGGTTGTCGAGTACGCATTACGATGTGGTACATCGGATAACCCGGTACTATGATCGCGCGCTGTAGCCAAAACCTAGGGGGAGAAGGAGGGCGAGAGCGAGGGGGGCGACGGTTGTGGCCTTGAAGTGGCGTCCTTGAACGGGCCAGATATTTGCCCTTGGACCTCACGGCTATCGCGAGAGACCGGCTACTATATACGACGACACCGAGTCTTCCCCGCAGTGGTCGACGATCACCTGTCGTTATTCATTATTATCACTACGCCGGCAAACGTGTAAAAAAAAATGATATCCCCCGAAACAAATAACAATTAATTAGCGCGTTATTGTTAAGTTTATATGTTATGATAATGTTTGAATACATTTACCAGTGCACAGCGACTGAGCGTACCTTGCCCGGCTATAGTAGACGTGCGTCGACGGCGACAGTGGTAAGTTGCACTCCGAGCGGCGTGTGCGCCTGAAGAGGACTTGTAGATGAGAACGGCAAAGCACTCGCAAAAAAATCAAACAAGACTTTCTCGAAATAAAAAAATATACATATATGTATCCTGACCGTGAGCTTTTGACGAACGGTTTATATGAAAAACAAAAAATTAAAAAATCACTTTTATAATACTATTATTTGATTTATGAACAAGCGAGAAGTACGTCGAACTTGTCGCCGGGCGAACGTCAGATCTGCTGTATACGCGACACAGTGTGGTGCAACTTCTCGCTCGTGTTTTGCAACTCAACAAGTTTCAAAGAGTGTTGAAAATAATTTTAAAAGAAAATTAAAAAAAAATTTACATGTCAATGATAATCATGAAAACACGATGACGGAACGAAAACGTCCAGGGTACGCGAGCCGCGTAAGTGTTTGGACAACCGAGAACGTCGCACTGTGTACGTCTGCACGTATCGCGTCCGCGGCCCGTCGTTCCCCACTATTTTTTTTGTCGATTAAAAATATTTCGATTATTTCTTCTCTCTACGGCGCTATCTAATCGGTCAATACTTTTTTTTCTTTTGAGTAAACACTCATTCACGACCATCGACAACCCTGTCTAGATTTCGTTTCAATTTAGAAAATATTAGTATATTTATTATATATTTTTACCAATAAATGTCAACGGCCAACAACCGCCCTTCGTCGTCTCCCATCGTCGGTCGTCGTCCGTCGAGACCACGACGACACGAGTTAAAAGTGAAATGGATATTAAATAACAAATAACATTATTATACTAGTATTGTATTGTTATTATTATTTATTATTATAATAACAAAGAAGGGTTAGCAGTGGGGTGCGCGTGTTTGAAACGCATGACGATTTATTTTGATTTGTGTGGCAGTGTTGTATGTAATATTTAGTGGTCTTGTGTATCTGTGTGCTGAGAATAGAGAAGAAACCTATCCGCGTATATGCCGATGTGCAATCCGTTGACCGGTCGGATAATAAAATGTGATAAAAACGCCCGCCATGTCCATCGGTCACCGCTTATACCCGCGTGTCATATAATAACAACAATATCAACGGACACGGTCTATAAATAGTAAATACTGTCTGCCCTTACGGGTTTATAGCCGGTTATTATTATTTTTTGTCTATTCTATTTATTTTTAAGTAAATGAATCAAGCACAAATAGAACGTTCCCGATAAAAATTACTAATCCTACTGAAAACACGTTATTTTATTAATAATGAACTCATATTTGTGTAGTATTGGTGTTCGTATAGTAAATTACTAGGGTGAGACGAAATCAAAATCCAATTAAAATTTTAATGATATCTTTTTTGAAAATTAAAAATATTCTTATGAACTTATAAGAGGAACAACTTTACGGTCATATAAATAAAACAATACTGTTTGCATTTCCCGTCTTCAGAAGAGATGTGTCAGGTAAATCTTTTTTGCCCTTCTCCCTGTTTTTGCCCTTTGGTTTTATTGAACACATTAACGGGTTCAAATGGACGTATACTTATCAAGAATGATCGGTGCAAGTCGTAACTAGAGTCGAGCCCACGGTTATAAACGTTAGATAACCGTAGTCAGGCCCCAATAAACCGTCATTTGATGTTCTGCCCACCATTCCTCGTCCAGCAAACGAGATTTTTTTTGGAAATCCAGAAATCTGCTTATGATTGATAAATGATAAATATCGGCTGGAGGTCGGAGGAAGTCATTATTCATAAACCAGCAGTTTCTCTAGTCCTGACATTAATAGTTATTACTTATTTACAACAAAGATAATAATATGAATAATATGTACACATTGCACATTATTGTACCTACGTTGTTTGTATGCATGTACATTGCATATTATATGGACGATTATTAATTTTCCGGTTTATTTCTTCACGTGATCGCAATAAATTGCTATTTATACATTTTATTATAAAAATTCCATTTGCCTACTCTATCTCATTTTGTTTCATTTTTTCAACGTCTAGAAAATTGAACGTATTACCATTAGAATTTTGTAAACTCAACTGTTTTTGCGTGAATTAAAAACGATTGCAGAGCGCAGCCCACAGGCACATTTGCAATATTACTCAGCTAAAAGTGCATAAAACTGTTATTGAATATGCGTTAGTTGAGTTGATTTTTTAAATTAAAGAACAATAACATTTTAAATAATTTGTATGCTATGACATTACTGCTAATATTTTAAAACATATGTTTTAATATTATGTGTACACTGTACTATCTGTATATATATATATATATATACATATATATGGCGAGGGGAAATGAGACCTCTTTTCCCGAGAATCCAAATTGCAGGAGAGGCCAAAACATTGATCAGGCTTTTTTTATATTTGACCCAAGCATTTTTTTAGCTTAAATGCGGAGCTAAAAAGGTATTGTTTTTACAATTTCTTTTTTTTTTGTGTGTCGGGACTCACGATATAATTTAAAAATTGCAGAACCAGTTTCTTCATGTAGCAAGTCTTTAGTTCAGAACCCGTATCTGTAAGATACTGTTCCCCTATATAACCGTAAAACCCCTAAAAAATGTAAAACCCCCATATTTTTAACTTAAAATTATGGCGTGCTATAACTTTTGTAAAGTAGTAGATTTGGTTCCTTTGTATGAAATATTCATTAGACATAATACTACCGATAAACATTGACAAACCAAAAAAATATCATAAATCCTTTCCCGTAGAAGAAAAGGGAACTTTTCTTTATTTTTATGTGAAATTTAAGGGCTTAAGGTCAAAAAATAATACCGCTGGTAGACATAGAATGAGGCTATAAAATATAAAAAATACAATACATATGGGTGGCAACAGCAAAAAAATAGTTAAGACAGACAATCAACTATAATCGTATCCACTTCAATACTAAAAATACATTTTTAATCACATTATTGTCATTACAATCGTTTTATCGATATTTGTATTGATATCATTACAGATTCGCATCGAAGCGTCTATTGAAAGTGATAAAATCACTTTCAGTAATAATAATTTCTGTAGACATGTCACCTCCCCTTCTCCAATATGCTACTTCCCGACTTCACTGTACTGGATTTTTTATTGCCAATATTTAAAGTACTTCAATGCTAAGTAAAATGTATCAAACCACCTTCTTATTTCTTACAAAAAAAATATTATCTTTACATGAAATTTAATGTATTAACCTAAACGAGTAATTTCTAATTTGTAGATAGTAATATGTATGAAAGCTATAAAAATACCTTTATGAGAAACGCTTTGGTGTAAATCTGTAAAAACTAATTATAAATTGAAGTGAATTTTTTATCGAACCAATAAACTATACTCATAGGCGTGCGCACGGGCTCAACCGGAAATTTTGTAGGGGGCCAATTTTTTTTTTTGTATAGTTAAATTTGCGTATACATTTTACTAAAATCCATATTGTATAATAATATGTTCGTGAAGATAATACGCATTTTATTTGTTGTAACTTGTGATAGTGTAATAAAACTAAAAATAAACCAGATATTAATACTAATAATAATGAATGGCTCGATTGGATAAAATCAAACAATTACACAAACTCATATAATGGATTTTACACCGTACTAAAATTATTTACTGTAATACCAGTTACCACTTGTTCCTGCGAAAGAGTTTTTTCAAAATTAACAATAGTAAAAAATAAATTGAGGAGTACTATGCTCCAAGACTAGCTAAATGATTTATTATTAATGTTTACTGAACCAGATCTAACATCTAATATCGACATTGACATGGTGATTGACGAATTCAAAGCTATGGAAAATAGAAGAATTTATTTATAATTTTTTTTAATTTTTTTTTTATTTTAAGAGGCTTCAACATCTGTGGTTATTAGCCATTGTATACATGTTTTGTGTAAGTTACATTAATAATTAAATATCAAAGGTTACAATATTTTTTGAATAAGAATAATGAAATACAAAAGTGTTGATTAGATATTGTTTACAACGTTAATTTTTGTAAGGAAATTTAAAATTGTTATGGTGTTGTCTTCATGGAGAGCTTCTTCTAAGTTGTTGGGTATTGATAAAGTACTTCGGATGTTTTGTAGGTCTGGGCAGTCTAGAATGATGTGTTGGATGGTTAGGTCTTCTTGGCATTTATTACATATGGGTGGTGCATCTTTGCTGATTAAGAAAGTATGTGTCAAAGAGGAATGTCCGATTCTCACTCGGGTTAGAGTTACTTCTTGTCGTCTGTTTAAATTGTGAAGATAATGCCACTTTTTAGTGTTATTTATAATTCTTCATTTATTATAATAATAATACATCAATAAATATTTTTATATGTATAATGTATCATGTATACGTATATTTCATTTTTAATTATTTATTGGTTTAATAATTAACATTTACTTTCATTTTGGGTAATGTTTTATTTTTTTATTTTTTAACATATTTATATTTATGTTGTATGATTTTAAAGGATTTAAAAATTTGTATTTAACTTTTAAAAACATGCGTCTAAAAATAAAAATATGTTGTATGTACATTAACCAGTTTTTAATTTACAGTTAGAATGTATGCTTACTATTAAAATAAATGTAGGGGCACTGTCCAAGTATTGGGGCGCTAATATTGTTCAAAGCTCGACCGGAAATTGAAGTCTGCGCACGCCTATGACTATACCACAGAAATAAATATTACCACATACCACAGTGACAATAATAATTAGCAATATCGATAATAATAACATGTATAAATCATAATATTTGTTATTAGATTAAGAATAAAACATTTTGTAAACTATCTACTGCTTAATCCTAGACCCCCGGGAGCTCAAAAATCGCATATTTTCGAGCTCCCATAATATACAAAACACTTAAAATTTTTAAATATTTACGAAATACAAAACAGTAGAATAATTAAACCTCAATCTTTACACGTAACACCATTGTCATTCACAACAATTTCTTTCATTTGAGTGTTAATTGTATAGAAACTTTAGCTAAGCTGTAGATAAAACATGTTAAGTTATGGTTACTATAATTTTCATTCGTTATTTGAAACAATAATTATTACCATAAAAAACATTTTTATTTCGTGTGTTTTTGTAGTTTCAGTAATTAATATCATATACTGTTCCAGTTTCTATACGGTCTAATTAATACTTAAATATTATATTGTTAAGTTTTTTTAATGGAGAACAAATTAAATATGCATATAATTTTTTTAATTTATACCAGCCTAATAACTTAAATTTTTAACACATACTTAATATTATTATTATTTTAAATTTCAATACGATATATTAAAAGGTATGAAAAAACAAAATCGATTTTTTTCAAGGGCTAAAAAACTGTAACTCGTAAAAAACTTGAATATATATACCTTTAGTATAGCGCCTATACAGAGTGATTCATTTAAGCCATTCTTTTTCGCTCAAAATAAATGCAGTTTT